AGTTGAGATTTGTCGAAGTATCACAAATGAAGTTACTCTGTGATAATCAGGCTGCCCTTCATATTGCTTCAAATCCAGTGTTTCATGATAGGACTAAACACATAGAAATTGATTGTCACTTTGTTCAAGAGAAAGTTCTATCAGGGTGTATTGCAACTAGTTATGTTAGTTCCAACGATCAGTTAGCAGACATCCTCACTAAGTCTCTCAAGGGTTCTCGTGTTGATTTTATTTGTAACAAGCTTGGTGCATATGACTTGTATGCTCCAACTTGAGGGGGAGTGTTGAAGTGTAAAATAGAAAATATGATTATTCTCATTGTAAAATAGGAAATAGGATTATTCTCATTAAGAATTAGATCAGTTATAATAGGAATGTAACAATTTACTTCCTAGATTAGTTTTTTGTTTTTTGCTATAAATTCATTGTACATTTCATTATGAAATAAGTAATAAAATCAAAGTATTTCTTCATAGAATTGATATTTGAAAAGTTAACTAAAAAAAAACTACACAAAATTAAAAAAATAATAATAAAAAAAATTCGGGCTGCCCCGCACAAAAACCCGTCGGGTTAGGGTTTGCGGGCCGGGTTGGGCTGACCTTTTTAGTCAAAGAGGCCCAGGCAGGCCGGTTAGGCCCAACTTGTAATTTGGCCTAACCCGCCACGAGTTGGGCCGGCTGGGCCAATTTTCCACCTCTATGTGGGAAAAGAATGAGAAGAAGAGGAAAAATAGTTTTTGAGGTTGAAGGGTGAAGTGTGTGAGTGTTATGAGGGAGTGTTGCTGCTGCTGCTGCCCTAAACCAACATAAAAATGAAGGACAGAAAGAGGGCTAAGGTAGACAACGATGGACAAACGTGCTGCTGCCACCGACTAGAGTGCAACAACGACAACGGACTGTTGACGGCTGGAGCAACGAGAGGAGAAGATTTCAGATTTCAGATTTAGGTTTATTTCATTTGGGATTTTGTAGAAGGAAAATGGGGCTACGGATTTAATTTTGATTTTGGCAACATTTTCTTTAACACTTCTGGTCGGGTTTGAGTACCCGCATTTCATTATATAGCTACCAGTACCCGAACAGAATTTTCGAGTACCTAAAACTCATAACCTGAAACCGACCCAAATATTTGGATGCCCGAAAAATTTGGTTTGGTTTGGGTTTTGGTTAATTTTGTTTGCCCCTAAAAAAATTCAATAACTTAGCCGATAAAGGGTTTAGCTAACATGGGTTCTCTGACTATTCTCAAGTCAGAAAAGGTTTGAAAGAGAGCTTCAATGAAGCTAGAAGCAAGGTTCAATGGTAATATCTTTGCCACTGAATGTTAGAATAGAGGAATAAGGTTTGGGTTTAGTTAAAACACCTTAAATAGTTAAGATTAGATTTAGTTAGTGTCATCAATAAGGTAATTAACTATGCAAAGGAGATTAAATTTTAACTATTCGAAATGCATTGACTAAATAATAGAATTTTAATAATGAGTTTCTTGAATTTGTTGTCTTAAAATTTTTATTTTTTTTTTTAAACTTTCTATCATTTGATTTTGAATAAGACATAACTTAAAACTTGTAATATACGAGACAAAATGTTTAATGAGTTATTGTAAATAAATAAAAAAAAAAAAAAAATATATATCGGCCAGTTTTTGGAATTTTTGCTTTTAATATTTTTATTATTATTTTAATAATTTAAATTTAAATATTATTTATACAAAATTAGAATTTATATTTAATCTTGGGAGTTGGGGCATTTTGGTAATTGACATTTCTAAAAGCTGATTTTGAATTCTAAAAACTAAAAATACATGTTTTTAAAACCCTTTAATAAAATAGATTATGGAAGAAGTAGATTATTTCATAATCACTTTTGAAATATGTTTACCAAACACATTTTGGATCATAGTTTAAGAAATAAGTGATTATGGAAGAAGCTATAACAAGCCCAAACTAACCTTAATACCAAGTGTGTTAATTTTACTTGTTTCTAAAACAACAACAAAACACATATTTTTAGTAGATTTGGCAAAGTCTTACTCGTACCCGTAGGTCCACGGGTACTCAATCCAAATGGGTAGGTACAGGTAACAACATTAATTGCCCGTCACTAGTTTATCCGTTCCCGGCCCACTTGTGAAAACTACGTGTGATACCTGCAAGTACCCGCATTTAAATTTTAAAAAAAAAAAAAAAATTGCTAAAAACCTAAACCATATTTCTCTCTCAAAAGTCAGATTGTAATACCTAAATCCTAAGTCGTCTTAATCTCACATAGTAGCTCTCAATCTCTCTCTCTCTCACGCCGTCTCACACAGCAATGCGGCAGCTCTCAATCTGTCTCACTCATGGTCACCGTATTACAACCCAGTAGCTCTCAATCTCTCGCACTCTCACGGTGTCTCATGCAGACGTAGCCAACTCTTAGTCTCTCTCACCGTCTCACGTTACTACCCAACAGCTCTCAACCTCTCTCACCGTCTCATGCAGCCAACTCTCACAGTCTCAACTCTCACGCAGCTATCAATCTCTCTCTCATGTAGCCAACGCTCTCAAATTAAAGGAATTTTATACCAAGTTTTCAAATTAATACAATATTCACTTTAAGGGTTGAAAACTGAATAACAAGAATTGGGAAATTTTAGTTTTTGCGGGTGACCCACGGGTCAAGTACGGGTGATGCATATTTCTACCCGTGCCCGTTTTACCCATTACCCATAGCTACCCAACCCGTACCCGCCTGTTTGCCAAGTCTAATTTTCAATTATGAAATATATTAGAACAATAACATGAACATGATAGACGATGAGTTTCTTACACATTTCTTAATTGTCTATATTAAAAGAGAATTTGTTGAGAATACTAATTTGAGTTTGAAACATCACAGAGGACAACTTTGATAATGTTTTAGTACATTTTCATTGTATTTTTCTTTACTTTATTATCAGATAATTAGAATTTCTCTTTCTAAAAAAAATAAATAAATTAACAAGAGTAAGATTCACTATGAGAATAAATTGTAGTAATGAGGGTTCCAATGCAATAAATTTGTGTGCTATTCATCCAACTCATTATTATTTACCTAAAAAGTAACCTCCTCTAATTATAATAGTCTTTGTCGTAAAAGTTGTTAATAATAAAAACTCTAATTAAAAAGTTTATAACTAGTAACAATTAAAGACGGGCTTAGCCTTAGGACCACGTCTACCCTCAATACGCAGCGTATCTACTAAGCCTGTAAGTTGGCTACGCCATAGAGCTTCAGAAATTGATTAAGCTTTTATAAATAATAAATTGAAATATACGTTTTTGGTGGCTACATTAATGTATGCGTTATGTACGATAATTTACTTGAAGTTGAAGTTTGATTAAATAACAAAAAGTATCATGAGATTTATAAAATAACAAAATTCTCTCCACCTATTGTTTTAAAAACCAGACCGGAGGGCAATCCACTCTGATGGTCAGGTCACGGTTCAACCGGTCCAACAGGTTGGACGGTCGGTTTAACCAATGGTTTGACAGGTTTAAAATCTAATAAAAACACCCCTGATAAATACCATCATACCCTATGGGTTTGAAATCTAGCAAACACAACCCTGGCCAAATGCAAATCGGCGATTGATTGGGAGAGTAGCGGCGACACACGAGGGAGGGTAGATCGGATGATGGGGAGGGCGAATCGGCAACTAGCAAGTAGAGGCATCGCCGGAAAATGGCAGATCGGTGGTAGAAGTCATTGGTCACGGTGGCTTTTTTTGGTGAGATGACTGGATCTTCGTGAACGACGGCAAGGGAGCTTGGGAGAAGGTAGATCGGTGGCTGAGGAAGCTTGTCGATGCCGGAGAAGGCCGATCGACTCCGAGAAATGGAAGAAAAATCACGCGGCGAAGGTGGACGACGAAACGTCACGCGGCAGCTGGAGATGAAGCGTGACAGCGTTGGAGAAAGTCAGAACTCAGAAGGTGGTTTCCGACAGTAAGGGAAGGTGGAAGGTCACCGGAAAATGGGAGGTCATTTGCCGATTTGCATTTGGCCAGAGGGTGTGTTTGCTAGATTTGAAACCTTCAGGGACTGATAGTAATAATCAGGGGTGTGTTTGTTATATTTTAAACTTCAAACAATTAAAAAGAGTGACCTGACTCGGAGAAGGCCCCGAGTCCCGATCCAACCGGTTGGACCGGCCGATCCGGTTTTTAAAACAGAGCCTTTAAGCTTCAAATGTTGAAATAAATGGTAGAACAATAATTCATGACCATCCTAATAACTCACTGACGACAAATTTTTTTGTTATTTCTAAAGTCTTAAAGGGATTTTGTTATTGCATCAAACCTCAGGGATTAATATCTTTTAACTGTTAAATGTTAGGAAAAGAAACCATCTGGCTAATACTAGCAGTCAGTGAAGTTGAAGTTGAAGAGGATGAGATTATTAGAAAGGTGGGGTTTGGATTTGGAAGCATCTTATTCCTCATTTAATTTCCTTCTCCAGAGATTTAATCTTCTTTCTTTATGATATTCCATATGTTTCTCTTGCTCGCCAAAAGCTTTTATTTGGTTGGTATTTCTTTCAGCTTTTCCAAATTTGTTTCTCCTCATATCTAGGCGCCCATTCTATTTTTCTTTGAATGGCCAAATCGGTCAGGTCTTCCCAAGTAAAATAAATAAAATAATAAACAAGAAAAGAATATTTCAGTTATAGATAATTTTACAATAAAGGACAATTGTGAAGACAGATATGCAATCGGTGTTAATACAGATGTGATTCAGTCAGTTTTTGAGGGCTTCCATCTTTCACGGCTACAGAGTAATTAAGGCGGGTCAGCAAGGAAAAGGGCAAAGACGGAAAATAAACAAAAAAAGAAAAGCTGCTCCGTAGATCCTCCCGTTTCAGTCAAATTACAATCCGGCTGAGAAAAGAAAACTAAAAATTCCAATAAATTATAAATATCACTGGTCAAATAAAACGAAAGTGGGAAGGAGAGAGAAAGCAAGGAAACTTAGTAATCCATCATTCAGAATAGTTAAAACAAACATTCATCAAATACATTAACCACTTAAAACAATTCAGAGGTTTTCCTATAGAGATATATAAACTCCACAACTAATTATCTTTCACCAACAAAACAATCATCATAATCAGAAAATTTGCGGCAAACATTACGTAAATACCAACTTCATGCCAAGAAAACATACACCACCTCAAAAACCCATTCTATCCTTACTACTTTCCTCCTCACTCCTGGAATTTTTCACAAATTTTACGGCTTTACCAGGAAAGCAGTCCCTCTTCCCTCGCCACTTGCTACTCCCTGTTCTTGGATTTCTCCATTGCTCTTGGAGCTGCACAACACATGAAATTAAAGCATATTCAGGCTTGCTCATTAATCAAAATGCCAAATATAATATAAGATAGAGAGGATTATGTCAAACTGGGGATTGCAAGGATCATTTATATGAAGAAAATTTCAAACAGCTTCCCCATGCATGGTAACTCAACAGAATGAAAGATGAAACTCTCCCTCTGATTTAAGTTTTTTCGATAACTGAGTCCAGACACGAGTCACTGAAAGATATTACCTACTCAAGACCAAATCCATGATGAAACATAGTTCACTCTCCACATTTAACCAAGTGACCATGAGAATCTCAATTGAATTTGCATCATTTAATCTTACTGGAAAGGCGCAATTTAGAGAACGAGGCATTGCATGAATTCTCGAACTCATTCATGAATGCACATAGACGCAAACAAAAGTGCTATTTAATTCTGACCACCAAAATAATAATGCGGCTGCATAGTCAGCAAAATGGATCACTCAACAGAATGAAAGATGACACTCACTCTGATTGAAGTTTTTTCGATAACCGAGTCCAGACACGAGTCACTGAAAGATATTACCTACTCAAGACCAAATCCATGATAAAACACCTATTTTCTAGATGGGATAGGAAATTCTTGACGGGAAAAAAAAGAAACTGATATACAGCTTTGAGCTACCTGATTTCAACATCAGGCCAATTACAAACGTTATAGCACAATTGGATCTCTAGGAGACCAGAATTCTAAATTAGAAGATCACTTAAGCATCCAGATCCATAAGACACCATCATTTTAGTTACCAATCATTTTTTTGGAAGTTGATGTCTTGCATAATGGGCAAGATTACTGATTAAATTATTATTATTGTATCAATTTAAACAACATCAAGTTTTGCCATTTGAAGCCCATACAGTCATCTAGCATTTACTAAGACCATCTCCAACCACAAACACCAAATTGGTGTGGCTTTTGGTGTATTTTACTATTACATCTCCAACCTATTGCATTAAATATTACACCAAAAAGAATATTCCTTAGAATATTCTCTTTCTTTTTCTTTCTATTAAAAATCAACAATTAATCTATTTGACTAATTATTTTTGTATATATTAATTAAATATTGGAAATGATATTTTTATTAAATAATAATAACTTTGAAAATTATACTAATTTAATAAAATTAAGCATTTATTTAATCAAATAAACATTATATTTAATATAAAAACAAACAAACATTACATCTAATATAATATGCCACCAAAAATGAAAAAAAAAAAAGAAAAGACTAACACCACAAAAGTAAAATTCCGTATTGATAGTAATTTAATTTTTTGAATTAGTATATTCTTCACACAAATAATCAATTAATGCATTTTGAAAGAGCATGGTGAGCCTCCGTACCCTTGATTTGTCTATGGTAAACTCTAGTTCTTTCCAATGTTTTGATGATCTTAGAAGATCTGAAACTAATCCACCGGAACATTAAATTGTTATTTTAGTTTATGTTGTATTTTCTTTTAATTTTAGTGTTTTTAGATTAGTGTTAATTTTTATTTTGAGTTATTGTAGTTTAATATTTACATTGAATAAAGTTTTCTTTTTAATTTTGCATCATTTTTTTAATTATATAATTATTATGAATTTATTATTATAAATATTAATATATATAATAATCAAATTAACATAAATACAAATTAAAAAAATAAATAACAAAAATAAAAAAATAAAATATATTTTATAATAGATGAATAGTATCACACCAAATTGGTGTAAGTGAATAGTATCACACCAAATTTGGTGTGATACTATTCACTTACACCAATTTGGTGTAGTTTTTGGTGTTGGATTGTAGCAAATTTTTCACACCATTTACACCAAAATGGTATTGGGTTGGAGATGCCCTAACTCCTTCATTCTTTTGGCAATAGAGTTCACTCTCCACATTTTACAAGTGACCATGAGAATCTCAATCGATTTAGCATCATTTAATCTAACTGGAAAGACGCAATCAAGAGAACGAGGCATTGCATAAATTCTCAACTCATTCATGAATGCACATAGATGCAGACAAAAGTGCTATTTAATTCTGACCACCAAAATAATAATGCTGACCACCAAAATAATAATGCGGCTGCATATTCATCAAAATGGATCACTGAGGAAAAAGAGCATACCTAAGCCAATAGCATCAGAGCTCTTCATTATTTTCAGCCTCTTGCATGAATCTATAAACATGCTGTGACAAAATAAAAAATTATAAGGAGTTAAGAGCAGAGATGCATGAGGCAACACAAGGAAAAGAGACTTCAATACGTCAACAGTAGTAACGTCAGCTTGAGTGAATTTAAATGAAAACTTCAGGCTATTGAAATGCTATCACGCATTGATATCTATCCATTAAAAAGTGATAAACAAGTGATGCAACCAAGATCTTGTCTTAATGCAGAAATTAGTGATAAATAAATGTAGAAGTCATCTTTAGTTCTATCATGTTGACCTTCAAAAACCGTAGTACAGTTGCTCAAATCATTTTAAAAAACTAATTTCAACAAATTCAATCCATCGTGATTTTGAAAGGGTAACATAGAAAAATGTGCTCATCAATTTATGTTCAGATTATGTGGTTTTTCTGGTCGTCACCTAATAATTTTGTCAATGAAGTTAAAGCTCAACAATCATGGAATTACATAAAAACAAGTTTTATTAATGTATTAAAAGTATAAAATAAAGTATCATTACAGTTTTCTGAGTCAATTACTTGAAAGTAACAATGACAAGGCACATAGAATTTCCATGACTTGATTATACACTGTTGAGACTCACATAAAGCATCATTCTCTAACTAAAAAGTCACATAATGATCACCAAATGCATAGAGAATTCATTTTCAGGGGATTGACAGGCAGCATATCTCTTTGCTAGCCAATTATTTTCAACACGCGGAAAGGACATTTCAACATGCCAAGAGATTTCAACCAGAAAAAATAGAACAAAATAAAACAAACATGACAAGAACAAAATTAACATGCACAAAATGATTTTTACAATAGGATCCATAATTAATGGATACATCAGTAATCACGTATAACTATTTCAACTTTTAGATTATTAAATAACCATATTGATTTCCAATTAACTAGATCACACAACTGAAATTCTAGAGCTATAGTTACATTTTTTTCTCAAATATTACCACAAAAGCTAACCAAGAAACACAGAGTAATATCGTATGAGTTATTTCTAGCAAAAACCCTAGCAGTTTGATCTTGGTCAGACAGAAATAATATTATATGGGTTAGTTTCCATAGCCAAAGCTTAAATAATAAATATCAAGAACAATACGTTCTAGTAGTAGAAAATGTTGTATGAGTTATTTCTACCAAAAACCCCAGCAGTTTATATTATTTATAACTCATACAAAATCAAAGCTAGTTTGGTCTTAATCTACAATTAAATACAGATATTTTACAAAACATATGCAGTGGTCATCCCTACAAGGTTTAACTGAATCAATAATAGAAAATGAAGATGATGAGCACAAAAAAAAAAAAAAAAGGGATCTGATATTTGGTTTATAGTGACTTGACCCTAAAAATCTTCGGACTGATATCAAAGATCTACTTTAGACGATACAGTCAAACTTAAAGCCCTAGTACTGCACTCAAAATTCTAAAACAGTGCTTGTATTATCATTTCTGCAAACTACACTAGTGTCATTAATTAAGGCCAATCATCTGCATCAGACACACTCAATAATACGAGATTAATAAATATTAACAAGAAATGCATTAATTCTTCTCCCGAACTCTTAAATATTTAATATACTCATGTTAGTGCTAGATTTCCATTATCCAACATATAGTAAAATAAAATCTGTTGAACTTCATAAGCATAAATCAACAATTCAGAAGGCATCAAATTGAAACAAACTTCAAAAAAACAAAGCAAATGGAGCTTTCACAATTGTTTCATGTCTGCATCTTAGAATTCTAAGAAACAAGAAAGCAACAAAAGAAACAGCAGGCAGATAAAACAGATAAAGTAGATCAAAGCTTACTCCCATGGCACATCCCCAACAAGCATCCAATCACTATCCTTGTCTTCATATGTAAGTACATATTCTGATCCATGCAGCAGATCCTTCAACTTGCTCTCACTCAGCTTTTCCCTCCCAGGAGCCCCATGGGATCCACATTGACCTGAAATCATAATAGAAGTTTAGTAATCATTTACATCAAAGCATGGGATATTTTACTTCAACACAATGATTCAGCACTTCCAACAATAGTAGCAGAACATTGAGAAAGCCAAAATAGCTTACCAATGGTAAAGCAACTGAACATCTTCTCAAGAGCAGAAGATAGTTCCCCATAATTGGAGTAAGTTCTCAAATCTACTTTCCTCAAATAAGGGGCACCATCCATGCTGACCTTGACAAAAAGAGCACCTGGACCAGGCTTTCCATCAACTTCATCATTGTTCTTTGATGTGGTAGCCAATGTATTCTTCCTAAATGATCTAATAGGAGGCCAACCAACAACCTGCGCCCTGCCATAATGTATATGCAAGTTCATAACCAGATCAAAAGCATCATCATAGCCTTAAACTACCATTGATTCCCTAAAATCATTAAGGGTCCACTTTCAGCAATTTACACTTACTTGGCAGCAGGTGCATTGCTGTTGTTGTTAGAAGCAGCTGCCTGGTTATGGCAAGTTCCACTGGTTGCGCGAGGTTTTTCTGGTACTGCATTCGGAGCCATCTCTTTCATTATGGCTTGTTGAGTCCCAGATGGTCTGGATGAAAGCTTCACATTCATGCCTGAATTACCAGGAAACTTACTCTGTGCAACAGATTGTGGTGATTCCGAATCAGGCCCAGCTGTATGAAACATCCAATTTTTTTCAGTGTAAACAGAACTTTTCACCTCTGAGAATCTGTCCATGGTGTCAGAAAATCCTCTTTTGTTTCCTGAAACAACATTCTTCTGTGATGTGGCGCAGATTCCATCCTTCAGAGGAAGCAATGGAAACAGTGGCTTCTCATCAAGTTTCCCTGAGCTAAGCAAAGAAAGCTCGGGATCTCTCTCAGGAGATTGGGATCCGGGAAGACCAAGTCTCAACTCAGTAGCCTTCAAATTCAGTTTGTTTTTGCTGTCATCTAGCAAGCTAGACGCTGCAGAGCTGTCAACTGAAGAACAGTCCGACAACCCCAGATAGTTGCGCTCTTTTAGCCCAGTAACATTTTGGGAAATACAGTCAGAGGGTGAAGAGGCTACTAAGGAGACACTGCTATGCCCTTCCTCCTCAACGCCCAGCAGCGGTGGAGACATCAGACTTCAAAATTATCAATTATCACTGCTTACATAAACACAAGAAAGATCAAATTAACTGCTTTATTTGAAAATGTTTTCTTTACATTGGAAATACTTAAACAAATGAAAAAAAAACACACATACACACAATAAACTCCACACTGATGCCGAAAAACCAATTACTAGACCAAGGCATCTTATATAAAAGGACATTGTATCTAAAGATCCTTACAAAATGATTCAACTATTCATGATACCTTCCTCACAGATAAAAACTTCATATTAAAAAAAAAAAAAAAAAAAAACTGGCTAGCCTCCTAACATCATGATTTATTCTCCTGCCGGAAAAATAGAGCTAAAAAAATGAAAAATAATATGAAAGCGAAGATTAAATTTCCGTTTATTATGAATAAAAAAGTCCGTATATTTCTTTTGGAAGAGTTAAGTTTATCTACCTTAAAAACAAATTTCAGAGTAAACCAAAAATTGCATGCGTTGATATATTTTAGAAACTGTACACGTCACTATTCATCTTTCTTTCTTTTTTCCTTTCCCTTAATTTTCCGGCGACCAAACAGATCAAAGATTAACAAACTGACAAGAAAGTTCCAAGCTAAAATAAGCTTTAAAAAAGAAAAAAAAAAAGTCGAGAGAACTTACCTCAAAATTTAACAATAACGTGAAAATTGGAAAGCTCCAAAAGGAAATGTTTAGAAAAGAATAAACAAGTTCACAAAGAAATTCATAACAGAACTGAGCAAAAGATATATATCACACTAACTAACAAGATCTCAACTAAAAATTCAAAACACGTACCTCAGAATGACAAAAAAAAAAAGAAAGCGAAGGAGATCGATCAACGCAGAGATATTAACAAGGAAATGTACAAACTGTATAGAAAGTAAAGCAGAGGGTCAGCGAGATAGAGAGAGAGAGTTTAAGGTCCTTCCATTAAGCAGAAAGCAACAAAAGGTTGTACCGAGAAACTCGAAGCTGAGAAAAATAAAAAGATGAAGTGGCAGAAAGGTAATTAGCTGCTAAAAGTTAGTCTTGTTATTTAATTCTCTTTAGCTTAGATTAACAAATTTGGACCTGTTCGCTCTATACTGCGCCGATCTAGGAGGGAGGAATATAATCAAGCGGACGAGATTAATTAGTGAAAGAAAAGCTGGGCCGTTTGATCTTGGTCAGACAAAGAAATAAATATCTGTCGTTACTGTAGGTGGTATGATGGAATTTTCAATTAGTTTTTGTTTCGGGAAATGAGAAAAACAATTTTGTATGGATGGTTTTTGTTTCCGACTTTCTGGTTTGCATTGTGGAATGTCCAATATGCCCTTGGTTAATGTGAATTGACTAATTTACACCTGTGTTAGTTGAAACTTGTAATTTTTATTATATTAAAGTCTTAATCATGTATTTGTTTTTATATAAAACATGTTTATGGAGTATGGACACATATTTATCTGGATTAGCGTATAAAACAATTGTTATTATTATTTCAATGTGATAATCATTGTTAAACATTTCTTGTCTCATATTATTATTATATTAATTATGAGTTGATGTTTTAATAATATGGGTTTTATAAAGGAATCTCAATTGAAGTGAGGAAAAATAACGTTACTATTATGATATAACACAAGAATATTCCTTAAAACACTCCATATGTATAATGTCTAATCTCATAACGTTGATTATATAAAATACAAAAAAAAAAAAAATTTAAAATTATGATACTTGTCACAGTTTAACTGATCAACTGGAATTATGATATATGTTTAATCAAAATTAGAATATTCACACGCACACTTAAAAAAAAAAATAATAATACAGAAAATTATAAATACATGAGAACAAACTTAGATAAGGTTAAATGTGGGTACAGAACAAGAGTGGCACCAAAATCCAGCATGATATTTTAGGGATTATTGACGCAGAATGACCAAAACAACCTTTTCATCGGAAAGAAACCTCTTTAGGTATGCTTTTCATGAAATAAAATTTCATTTATAGATACCAAATAGTAGGTGTGTTTATTTTGTCTTTTGTAAACATTTATTAGTTTTTTTTTTTTTTTAACATAAATTTAGACAAGAATAAACATTATACAAGAATAAACATTATACAATGAAAATTAGTCTGACTTTATTTAATAATGTGTTGGCTACCAAGTGAAGGAATTAAATAAGGGTTTCCTTAAACGTGAGTTTTATTTAATGTTGGGATAGAATGGTGGCAGATGGTGTCGACATAAATCAAGCAGCAAAAAATGGGAATTTAGAGAAATGGTAATTGGGAGATGAAAAAAATAAGGCATGTCTACCTAAATATATCAAATGCAACCACTCCACTCATTGCTCATTTAACTCCGCCCAACTAAATGCTCTTAATTCTTTGCTTTGACTGACCACCCCAACCTCAACAACTGTAATGTTATAACATGTCGCATTGCCGTTCCAGTTCTTAGTCCAATTGGAAGCTAGGAGAAAATGGGTTGAAGGGTTAACCACCGGATAAAAGAATAAAATAAGATTTTATGAGTTTTTGAGTTTGAGTTTTCTAATCGTCAACTTTAGGATTTTCGAGGATTAATTGAGGTATATGTAAATTGGTTTAGACAATCTGTTCAACAAGAAAAAAAAAACTTTGTAGCCCACTATTTCTTTTTGTAATATGACTTTTTTTTTTTCAATATTACCTAAAATTTCTCTAATGGTAAAATAAAATACTTAACAAAATTCAAATACTTTTCTTCAGAAAAATAGAAAAATAATTATGGGAACTTAAAAAAAAATGTTAATTATGATTGGAAACATTTAGGGGGGTTGATGTGATTAAGAAAATGTTTAAAAGAAAGTGAAAAGGAGGAAAAGGGAAATAAAAAGAAAAGGGAGGAGAGACAGAAGAAAACAGGGGCAATAAAGTATGAGTGAGGGGACAAGAAGGCGGAAATTGAAGTGGGGTTGCCGGGTGGTGACCCAGACATCTAACCTCCTTTCAATTCTTGATTTCTTTATCTTAATTATTTTGTTTTACATCATTACCCTTCCTTTCTATTTCTCTCTCTAATTAATTAAAATTTTATTAAATAAATTTTTCTTAGTGTTTAGTCTTTACTAGCATCATTAACTGCTTACTGCTCTGCACGCTTGGGCACATCTCTTCATGCTCCATGCATGCCACCTCCCTCATCATCACTTTTATCTCACCCCACGTCACTTTCAACTAATCTTTCGTTCTAATTTCTTTAAATATTCCTTCCTAAATTACCATTTCTTAACTGAAAATTACCATCTCTTAATTCAAAATTCAAAATCAACGATGGTTCAACACAAAAGTGACTGGTTGGTTCCAGATCATTTTATTTTTATTTTTTTACTAAAACCCTAAAGTAACTCATGATTAATTGATAAATTAACTATAGATTCAAGATAAAAGTAACTAAAGTCTATTGATTGGTTATAGATCATTTTAGGATAATTTAGTTTAATGGGTTTATTTTTGGAATAGAACTATTTTCAAAGTATTTTTCAATTAAAAAAAATGGGTTTCCTTATAATTATTTACTTTGACAGCGCTAATTGATTTGTTGTTGTTTTATAATGTAGTTAAACAAATCCCCAACAAAAGTTTTGTGAATACCCAAAATATTGCTCAAACGGACCTGTGGGATAAGTTGCACTGGTTACGATGCTAAAAGAAAAGCAGAGACCTTACTCAATATAGACGACGCTCATTTATTACCTAAATCACTGACATTTTCCTTCCATGATTTACTTTGCTTAAATTAAATCCCCTTCGAATCGTCATCTTTTACACAATCAAATTCCTTCTACATTCAATTTAATTATTTAGTAATTGTTTTGCCTGTACAGAGTCAGAAGTGTTTTATTATTTATTTATTTATAATTTGATAAATTCATGTTTAATTTGGCTTATCAATTGATGTATTAGATTCTGACAAAGATTAACAAGATTAAATGTGTCTGAAATGGTTTTGTCAGTATTTGTTATACCTCCACCACCTCCTCCTTAACCACAATTTTTCATTTGTTTGTTCCGATTGGTGTTAAGTCCCAATCCAATCACGATAACCGTTTCACCTCCATCATTTAATTCCTGAAAATTCTTCTGTTTCCTTCGAATACATATATTTTCACTCACTAGTTTGAGCTACTTCAATTAATTTATCGAGTTTAAATTAAGGTACGTAAATCTCGAATGTCTAACCAGGGGCGGATCCATCCATGGCCATCTTAATTTTTTTAAATATTAATAATATAAATTTTTTAGATTTTGATCCACCTAATAAAAATATTAATACAAAATAATATATAATTGTTTTTATTTTGATCCACTTAAAAAAAATTTCTGGATCACCACTACTAACCTCTATGACTTGAGGTGGATCAAACTTAAGATTCTTATCAGTAGCGAACCCAATTTTTGTTAGGGGGAAGCCTCTGCGATTCCACATTGTTTGTCAAACAATTGGTGAAAACTTTTAAAAAATTATCAAATCTTAAGCAAAAAAATAATAATATATATTAAGAACCTAAAAGGAAATAATGTATAACATCATACTTTCATATTTAAATAAATCTATGAGAAGTAAAACATAAATAGTAACTCAAATTTCTTAATAATTTTAACAGTACAATGAGTTTGAAATGTAGAAATTGGTGGGTAATGGTGAAGATACATTAAGTAAAATATATTAATGTTTAATTTTGAAAAGCAAAACATTCTTAGACACAAAACAAAAATAAACTCCTAAATCATGCTTTCTTCCATCAAATTAGAATGAAAAACTTTCAAAAACAATCATGATTCAACCATAAAATAAACTAAATTGAAATGAGCAATATACTTAAAACTGATAAAACAGAAAACAAGCTAATTGTGGCACCTTGAGTAGTGAAAGTTTTTTCAGTCTTCAAAATTTTTAAGACGAATAGCATGAGAAAAAGAATGAAAGAATAAGAGAGTAAAAAATTTAGAGAATAATATAAAATGCATGTGGAGCCTGGAGAATAGTGGAGAGAGTTTTAAACTTTTAATATGGTGTGGCCTGAATATATATATTAATAACAAGTTTTTTATGGTATGGGTATACGTATATAATTCTCATTTAAAAAAAAAATTGAAGTTAGGCCTAAGGGGGCGTTTGTATATAATGTTTTATTATAGAGGGGTATTATTTACGGAATAAATATTACTGTGAATGTTAGAAAATGTATTTGGTTGTTCGAATATTGGTGATATATGTTTGGTTGGAAGATAAATGAGTGGGTATGTTATTAGATTACTAATTGCCCTCCTTTTAAATATTAATATAACAATATTTTTTATTATTTTTTTTTTGAATAATTTTTTTAACCCCTAACTTTTCAGATTTACAAAAACACCCTAGCAACAAAAAACGTTTAAAACTTAACAAAAACACCCCAAGCCACTGTTAGCAGCCACCACCACCGCTGGTGCCCATTGGCAATGCCACAGATCGCTCGTGACCCGGCAGTGCCACAGATCTGGCCGTGAAACGGCCATAGATCTGCCCTTAAACAGCCAAATCTTGCCTTTTCTGACTATGGTGACCCATGGTCGGAAAAAGTCTCACCAGCCACGACCAGCCATATACTTTCGTTCGTACCCATTATGGTGACTTTTGGCAGCCTCCGACGCAATCGTTGGTTGGTAGCGGCGGCTAATTCTAGGTATATTGACATTGCTGTAAATAATGACAATAACAAGGGCAATGTCGTCCAAAAAAATTAAAAAGCGAGAACAAAAGTGTCTATATGAAATTGGTTGTTTTGTAAATGTTAACAAATATAGGTTAATTTAACCAAATGCTCACTGTTTAAGGGCAACATGGGAAAAAAAATTGTATTACCAGTGGTAAGTTTTAATAGCAACCCCCCACACCCCCCCCCCCCCCCCCCCGCGAGAAGGTATTAAGACTCCGCG